GTAGCTACTGCATATGCTAATGCATCATTGACGATCATTTCATTTCTACACCAAACATCAACCAAGCTATCATAATGGATTGAAATCTCACGATTCTCGGGAGGTGGATTCGTCTCTTCAAGGACGTTTCCGTAATCTAGAATTTCCTTATGAGTTGGATAGAATGAGTAGGTGACATTTGGATTCACAGTAGGCTCTTTAGGTGCCTGTTCCGTGGATTTCCTCTTTCGGGGGTATGAATCCTTTAAACCAAGAGGTTTGCCATGCTTTTGTGTAGGGGCAGAAGATTGGCTAGCTGATAATGTATGTGGATCGATCAAAGTGGAATCCCAAACCTCCAGGAGGAAAGTTCAGCGTACCTTTGGTACATCTATCTTTGCAGGCACATTTGCAGCTGGAATATGTGATCTTGTCACTCGCGCTAGATCGGTGAAACATCTAGCATGCTCTAAACTATGATCCGGGGATCTAAATGAGACAAAGTAGGAGTCATCCACGATAATTCGCATTGTTCTTTAGGAACGTTGACGTTCTTATCTCCCCCTAATGACAGGAAGACTGTCTTATAGAAGTGACAATCCGTGAAACAAATGGTAAACATATTGCCTATCAAAGGTTCTAAGTAATGAATGATCAAATGAGATTCGTATTTGACATAAATTCCCATCTTTTGCTAAGGCCCCATTTTTGTACGTAAGGATGGCGAAATCGGCACATAGACAGCACAACCAAAAAACACGCAGATGCGATATGTCGGGTTCGTATCCGTTAACCAACTGAAAGGCGATATATGGTTGGGTTGCAACAGGCCTCAAGCGGACCAACATAGCTGCGTGTAATATTGTATGGCCCCAAGCAGCGATCGGGAAGCTTGGTACGTATGACCAATGATCAAGCAATCATTTGTAAGCGCTTAATAAATGCCTCTGCCAGGCTATTCTGGGTATGAACATGGGGTATTGGATGTTCAAGTTCAACCCCAACTGACATGCAATAGTCATCAAAAGTTTTAGATGTGAATTCTCTAGCATTATCCAATCGAATAGATTTGATAGGATAATTAGGGTAGTGAGTCTTGACCTTAATAACATGAGCCAACAGTTTGGAGAATGCAACATTCCTTGTGGACAACAAGTGCACGTGTGACCAACATGTGAAAGTGTAAACCAAAACCATAAAATATCTAAATGGTTCGCAACGAGGGTGAATTAGTCCACAAATGTCCCCCTGAATCCTTTGTAGAACGAATCTTATCATAAGAAGTCTTAATAATAAGATTTCCCATAAAGCAGGTTTAACATGCGATTCCTTGAATTGAACTTGAGCTTTCGATTAATGGATGCCCGTGTGAAGATTTGGGGATACGACGCATTGCTGTTCGTCCAGAGTATCCCAAATGATCACGCCAAAGTGTAATTTAGTGCACAGTCCTAAATGTAGGGCCGGCCATATAGTGGCTTTCTATAGGGCGTATAGTTGTAGTATACAGACCACTCGGGATACGCTTCATCTTCTCTAGAATACGCTTCTGGCCATATTCGTAGGAAATTATGCATATAAATTCAACTTCATTTTCTACATAGGTTTCAGCGTGGTAATTATTATCTCTAATGTCCTCGAAACTCAGCAATGTTATTTCGAAACGTGGAGAATAAAGTGCCTCATCAATGGTCAAAATTATACCATTGGACAACATTATACGTGCCTTACCGTATCCTTCGATCAAGTTGGATGGGCCTAAGAGGGTTGTCAGAGGTGCATTCTTAGGTATGAAGTTAGTGAAATAGATGTGTTCACGTAAAACGGTGTGTGTGGTTACACTATCTACCAAACAACTAACTTTCCCACTAGTCATACCTAGAATAAAAATTAATTTGAATCTGTCACATGCATAAAAGTTCTAAAAACAAATATCCATTCAAAATAATTTAAGTATTCAAAGATGGTAATTAATAAACTTAATATCCAAAAACAAATCACCAACAAATAATCCAAATATAAAAGAAAATTGTTCAAAAATTAAACCAAAAAACAAGGAGGGTTCGGCCACTAGGTGGAATTCGGCCCCATTGTCTAAATTTCAACTAGAAAAATAGTTTGTGTCTAAGATTCTAACTTCCATAGGGGTAATAGCCTTTTGAAAGTTAGAAACCTCCATCTTGGTACTCTCCGGTTCATCTACTTGCACAAAGTTTGATTTAAACTTTTTACAACGTGAATGATCTTCAGCTACAACCTTCTAGGAAGCAAGACAAACACGGGACCAATAGTCCTTTGAACCACAATGATAGCACATGTCTGCATCCATAGTTTTAGGTGCATTGCCCTTATTCTTGAAGTATGGGGCCTTATGAGCGAGGTTAGGGCACTTCTGGGCTTGGTCTCTTCCCTTAGATGTGCTTTGGCTCTGCTGACCTTGACGGAATGGCTTATGGCCGCCTCTACCATGCCTATTCTGGTGTTTGTTTATGTTATAGTGTGCTTCAGGCACAGCAGTTGCCCTAGTAGGTCGAGCTTGATGATTGTTCATCAACAACTGATTCTACTTTTTAGTGAGAAGTAAAACAATGATCAAATCCGAAAACTTAAAAAACTTCTAAGCCTTATATTGTTGTTGCATGACAATATTAGTAGCAGAAAAAGTCGTCCAGAAGATCCTCTTCGGTCAAGGTCTTACAAGACTTGAGAAGTGATCAGATTCAACAAAGTTTAGAATTATAGTCATTCACATACTTAAAGTCTTGGAAGCGCAAATGATGCTAGTTATGTCTTGTTTCAAGCAAGAAGATGTCATTTTGGTGATCAAAACGATTAGCCAAAGCGACCCAGAGTTCTCGTGGATTTTCCCTAGCAAGGTACTCGGTTTGCAGTGCGTCATGAATATGTCTTCGGATGAAGATCATGGCAGTGGCTTTCTTAGCTTTGTGAACTGGGTTATCCGTCTCATCTTCAATGACGGGATGCAAATTCTTTGCAGTGAGGTGGAGCTTCACATCTTGGACCCACTTGAGGTAATTTCTTTCAGAAACCTCCAAAGCTATAAAGTTGAGTTTGTTCAAATTCGACGTGTTCCTATCACAAAATAATGGACAAGATGTGGTTTGGTAATGGAGAAAAAACAATCCATTCACATAGGAGTAGAACATTCGGGTTCTAATAGACATTTATTGGTTTAAATTCGCATGAAAAAACTTCGGTTTTCATAGGTGTTGTTTTAAGGAAAACTTTAGGTTTTCAAACAAGGCATGTTTCTAGAAACTTCAGGTTTCGAAATAATTATGAACTTTAGGTTCATATGTTCCTACAAACAAACGCAAATATATATACAGAAATATGCAACAAGAAAATATGCAAATAGAACTTCAGGTCTATAATTATAATTGAATTAATTATTTGGACTTCAGGCCAAATTTAAAGTGTGGGTGAAAAATTATAAAACCTAAAGTGTCTAAAAATAATAGACAACTAATACTCAAGGTCCAAAAACATGGACCAAAGTCCACGGGTGGGTTGAGCAAAATTGTACTATGGTCTAAGCCTAAAAACTAGGCTTAGATAGACACGAGCTGATCAAGCCCCAAACACAATTTAGGCTGCAAGCCCATTAGCAACAACCGGGCTGCAAAAACCGGGTCCAAAAAACAATGGCCCAAATGGGCATTGATCAGATGCAGGTACACCAATGTACTAGCTGCAGGCTGGGATCGCGTGTATGCGGAACATGGATACACCAGCACGGGGCTGGGATCCGGTGCATCACGGGCATCTGGAATCAAATCTAATCTACAATCACACTTAAACAAGAAGTTTATAACATTTCGTATAAAATTATATATAATATATATTTTAAAAAGTTAGGTCTCGTGAGGTTTCACCTCAAGGCTTTTTCCTAGGCGGGGCTATCCATGAAACGCCTCGCCTACGCCTTTGCCTTTTAAAACATTGGTCAACGGTTACCTTGTGTTAGGGGGTGAGCAAAAACGTACTCAAAATTCTTAAGCAAGTGCTTAAAAACATTTAACTATGCACTCAAGTTCTTACAATCGATTCTACTCACCCCTAATTTGCATGTAACAGAAAATAATAAAATATCACATCACTCAAAATTTTTACTTAAACATCTTTCAAACAATCCAATGTTTCTTTTTTTTATCAGTGCCTCCAAAAACATTACGTTTTTATAGGGTGAAGTTAATATAATTACCCAGTTTAGGGATAATTTTAAAATGGTGTTAATCTTTTAAAATTTTCCAAATAATAATCTAATATTTTAAAAAAATTGAAGCGTTAAGTGAGGAACTTGACAAGTGTTACAGCGAGATTTTACCTTGACGTCATTTATAAAGCTCTAACTCCCCAAATTGATTCCTTTAAACTAGACAAAGTTAGTGTTTAATTTGGCTGAAAGGGCTCAAATTGAGGATTCACAATTCTAAAATATGAAAATTAGCCTCAACATTTGTCCATATCATTACTTAAATTTGATGACATTGTCAATTAACAGTAGTGATGTTATCACTTTATGTTGGTGACCTAACGAGTGTCTATATTTATAAATGTTTTGTGGTTATTTGAAATATTTTAGTTATTTGTACTTCCTTGTTTTTTTAACCATAAAGGTTGGGACTAATTTGGAATCACACTAGAGATTGGTTAGTTATTCGTACTTCCCTGTTTTTTAACCATAACAAGCAGTTGCTAGCTATAATTGGTGTATTTGTGTTAAGTTACCAAAAACAACAAAAAAAAAAAAAAAAAAAAAAAAAAAAAAAAAAAAAAAAAAAACGAAAAACAAAAAGCAAAAATTGTGTTAATTATGACTAGCCCATCTTTTTGTTTAGAACAAACATAACCCTTAAGAGTAAAATAATGTTGTTAAGAAACAGTAACAATTAAACTCTTATTATTTATTTAAAATATAAATTCATCCGAGTTCATTTTTCATTACGTAATAACAGCCAAACTCAATCAAACCAAAGATAACTGATTAATGGACTATACTAATCATTCCATTTATAGCATCTGTCGTAATTGTTGGTGTCCCAGTTCCACAGGCATGGATGGCCTTCAAACACAGCCCAATTACATGTTCCACAATAGTCACCATCTCTAAAGTTATCATATATATCGAACCATTGAAATGCACCTGGCCATTCAAAACTGCAGTAGAATTTTGTTACTGTGATGAAGCTAGGTTTGAAGTGGAATTGAAAGCTGGCGTTCGGTGGAAGCGTTTGGAGACCAAGATCATCGTCCCCGGATTTGCAGTGAAGGTTGAGGGTCTGGCCTTTCTCCAAAGAGTTTGTGATCTTAACATGTTTTCTCTCGACTGCATCACAAATGGTAACTGTGAACAAAACCAGCGTGACTAGCAGCAGTACTGCACTTCCGTTGAACCAACCCATGCTATACATATAGCTTGTTAATTTGAAGAAAATCAAATTTTATTTTGGTGTGAAAACACTAGGATGAACCATGCTTTAATAGTTGCTAGCTAGAGGTACCATCCACAAGGTCTCACATTTGCTTTAGTGCAATTTTTTGGCCGGGTACATTTGCTAGCTAGTTCTTTATTTATAAAATTATGGTAATAGATCGATTCACGTATAAAATTAATTTTGTTAGAATAATTTACAGTTGTGGAAAGACATTTAATTTTTCATAACAATGAATTTAGTTTAAAATGTTGACGAGCTTAGTAGTTGTCATGTAATTGAAGGTCTGAATTCTACTAACAAAATTATCATGCAGTAATTTTTTTTATACAAGCGATATTATTATACTTTAAGCCTATAAAAATTTGATGAATAGAATTCAAACTTAAGTGCATACGGTCTAACACATAAGCTCTATGTAATGTGGCTATGCTTAAATATACATTTGGTAATTTAGTAATAGAAGGAGTAATAGTGATTTTGAAAATCATGTACAGCTAGCTGAGAATAATTGGTAATTCTAGGAATGAGGAAATATAAAAGGAAAATACTAGGTAGATCATCGGTGAACATGTTTGGCAAGGTCCGCTTATAGGTAAGAGGTCCTTATTGCTGGTAAGGGGATGTCCTATACACCGCTTCATGCCACATCATGTTCTAATTTCTATTCTACTTGGATGTCCCAAGCGTTCGTGGCACAACACGTGTTAAGTGGAGTAAAATTAGTCCAAATGGTACAACTCAACAACAGTGGTAGAGGTACGAATAAGTGCATAACCAATTATTTCTTCCATTAAACAGAAGTAGATTCTACAAGATTGAGGTTCGAGAAAACTATCCCTTATTCTTGTTCCATTAAACAGAAGTAGATTCTACAAGATTGAGGTTCGAGAAAACTATCCCTTATTCTTGTCAACCAAGGAGCTTCAGCCATCAAGGATTTCCTTTTGTACATCACATAGCACCTTTTCACTTCTTGTGTACAAGGTGGGCCGTGAGGATAGCCGAAGTAGGCACCCGCTTAGGGCCTCCACTTCGGAGGCCCTTAATTTATATATAATTTCTTAAAATAGAAACTCAATAAAAATATCAAAAAATAAAATCATAGGGAAATGAAAAAGAATTGGTTGAAAAATTAGATTATGTAAACTTAATTAGCACATTTACTTCCCAATGACCACCCTAATTAAACTACAATTGAAAAAATGGGTAGACAATTAAAATAATTCTACCGTTTGCATCCCCCAAAGGCCCACGTGATGGCAATTAAATTAATATAATTAATTTAACTGCGTCTTGCTCAGTTTTATTCTAAGGATTTCTCTATAAATGAGTTGGAGATACTTAGGATTCAATTTTAAACTTAACATTGTGGATATGCGATTTAGTATTGAGTTTTCCGGTTTAAAAGGGATTGGATATCTTGCAAAAAAATGGTTCAGTGCAAAAAAGATAAGGTGTATCCGCTAGTTTATTTGCTTGTGACATTAATACTAACTCTTTCAGTAGCTACTGCCATCATTGATATAGCATTTTCAGTCAAGAAATTTTTGAAGAATTAATTAAGAAATCAAAAGGGAGATCAATGAATAAATGATAATATAATTATTGTTATAGATAGATATTTGATGGTATTGGTAATAATATTGTTATGTAACGTTTTTAAAACTTGAAAATGCGTAAAGATATTGCAATATATTGTATAAAAAACTGTATAAATTAATATATAATTGTTCAATAAATTCTTAAGTTTTTGAAGTGTAACTTTATTGTTTAATGATACTTTATTCATACAAATCTCTTGACTTCGTCCTTTAACCCTGACAGTGAGAGAAATTCATTATTACTATATGTTTACAAATATCCATTTTGGCATATAGATAACAAAGGAATAGAAATATGTGGAGAATATTCTATCACCAAACCAATGAGTAGGGAAAGGGGCGGATCTATTCGATGGCCAGGGAGGGTGACTGGGGATTGACTAGTTGGGGGAATAAAATGACATACTACCATTGGCTAAATTCCAAATTGTTATGACAACCACAATTTGTATAGACTTGAGTAATATATAAATAGTTTTACAAAGTGCAAGTTGTTGCTTTGCAGTGGACATATTTACTTCCCAGCCATTTTACCGACATCTAAACGTAGATGTTATTTCATTACCAACTTTTCCACTCAAATTGCAAAAATGGGTCTACTATTTCAGTTGCTATACAGTCAGTATATGTGGGTACATACATCAAATATTCGGTGAGTCATTATATTTTCGGGATTCATTCTCTGATCTATTAGAGATTTATTTTGTTCCAATATTTATTTTATACTCGTTTTATATGGTGATCGTCCCTATTTAAGCACTTCACTTTAGATGCTCTCAGAGCTTCACAAGTTCAAACTAAAAAAATGGATTTGCCTCCTTCCAAACACATAAACCAAACAGCCTGCAGCAAAGGATAATATGATAAAAATTATAAAATTTCATCCAACATTCCCTGTGCATTGTTTTGTTATTTTCTACAAACGATTTTATTTAATTTACCCGAATTTCAGCACAAAACAGTCAGATAATGTATATTCTCCCAGAGAAATAAAGACAGGGCCAGGTCAACCAGATCCCATGCCAAATCAGCAGACTATAGCTCAACTGCCAAATCCTAAGTTCTGTTACATTTGAGTTAAAGTTGGTCAATGTATATGAAGTTATAAACTAACGAGTCCCCCCGATCGACCAGCCCATTATTGTAACCAACAAATGTGAAAAAACATTCACATTGACAAGATATGGTGATGATGATTTGTAGTACTAGGGCTCCAAGCATCATAAACCACATAATTAAGCAACATTTTGATGTCCACTAAATTAAAGTTGTTGGGCTGAAATAGCCAACCCAAACCTACAGGCTAGGCAGGGTTTTATGTTGGTCGGGCCGTTCGTTTGACATGTATGCTCTAACTAATACAATGCTGAGTGTAGATCAAACTTTAAATATATTGTTTTAGATAAATCAAAACCTACTGAAAATTGTCTCATGGTCTGATTGGCTGTATAATATGCCATTTCTCATGTGGTGCCTCCAAACTTCAATTTCATGTTCAATTCATGAAAAAAAAAAAAAACAAGTTTTTATCATTAACGTGTGTGACAGTAGGTTTGGGAGCTTGAAGAACAAGATTCTTGGGATGAAGATTAGCTTTTATCTCACATTTTACTTGGAATGCAACTGCAAAATCTTCAAAATCAAATGCGCAAGCAAGACTAGCTCGTTGATACCATCATGATAATAACAGAGAAGAAGAAGAATCACAAAAGAAGAAGAAAGAAATGAAAACTTAGAGTAGAATAAATCATTTATATTTCTTAGTAACTGCTTTGTTTTCAACTTAATCAATGGTACAAGATTAACTTAATTGGAGGATTGAATCAAAGTTGTGGGGGAGTATGAGTGAAAAGCTCCAAATCATGGCCAAAATGCCCCAAATCAAATGTGTAAATTAAACCTTGAACAATGAGCATATTTTACACCATTCGTAAAAGGTGGGTTGCTTCACCGTTCCCTAACATGAATTGGGGCCATTGCAGGTGTGGAGAATATATATTACTATATATTAATAAAACTATAAGATATCTTCAATGTACTAGAAAAGTTATACTCATATATGATTCAAGTGCAAAGTCATATTTGACATTTGATATAGCTCTAAACATGGGATTCTCACCACATAAGATACAAAAATTATATTTGTCTCTAAATTTGACTAGACTCCTAATTTACAAGAGTTAAAGTTAAAAGTCAAATTTGATTTCATATGCATTGCATATAAAATAACTTGCAGCACCACATTTAGAGTCAAATATGACTTCATAACTTTTAACCTTCAAGTTTTAGATTGGAAATACAATCTAGTGGTATTCGTTTTCAATTGACTATTGTGAATGTCAATTTCTGTACTAAATCCTTAACTAATCTTAGTTTAAATAAATCGTTGTTACATAAAAAAAGACAAACTCTACGGGTCAACTTTCAACAAAGAATATATGACATAAGCAAAAATACTGGAATCTCAATTTCTTGGTCACTCTCCTGTGTGATACTAAGAGTAGAGGTTAAAACACTAAAAGCATATCTATTTATTCTTCATTCTTAATATCAAATCTAAAAACAAGTAACCATGCGTTCATTGATCACTGGTTACCGAGATAATATTTTTAAACAAACAGACAAATAGATTGCCAGGAATCCCTAGAATACTAAGGAACAATCGTGAGGGCTCTGGACTCAAGTCACCTCCCTTTTCTTTCTTTCCTGGCTTTCTGAGCGTGGCTATTGCCTCCTTTTTCTTTTTGTTATTTTGTATTGGTTACATTTGATTACTCCTTCGACCTTTAGGTAGGTTTAATTATTGAATCCTCTTCAGTTAATAACAAGGCTTTGCCCAACTTTGCATTTATGTTAGGAATATGACACCAATATTCCAGCGGAAGTTGCGTGTCCAGCTGATCCGTAATATTATTCCAGGAAAAGCAGCCCATGCACCTCTTCATTTCTAAGTAGCTTCCCACTTTCCCCCATTTTCTTCTTATTAGTTTGCCAATGCAATCCTTTGTTTTATTTGCATACTTAATAGAGTTTAATAACTAGCTACCTGCAGTTTGTTGGCTTCCATTCCTTCCAATCCGTAAGTAGTAATTAGACTACATTAATTTCATTGCTAAGTTTTTGTTTGTTTAGATACTACATATGATATGCTGCACCGAATCACAGGTGGAACATGGCACAAGGTCTTTGGGAGACCATGGCACAAGGTGTTTTGGGCGGCCATGTCACGCGTGTTTCATCCATTAGTGCCCAATACAAGCACAGGTGCGTCTGTCCCTCCTTGCCAAAAGAACAGGGAAAAAATGAAAATCCTTTCCTATTTCATTATCTAATTAAATAATCGTCTATGCTTTTTTCTTAAGAAAA